TCTCAAGTTTGTCGTATCGATTTTCATCTCGTGTTTACCAAATGTTTCAAGGTTGCAGACATATTCTGATAGACATATGAAACGATGTATGGAGGTATTCAATGCGAGGACACACTAAGTAAGATTTCCTACGTTTGTGACAGTCACGCAGGGACGTAGTCTAACATATTCTGAACTGTGCAGCTTCTACTGCAGCATTAAGATTAAGACTAAAGTCGTCGCAGCAACTACGTGAATAAATTATTAAAATGATGCTTCACTGTTCCATATTTTTATCAGAGTTTACCACAACCGAAGTGTAGCGAAACCAGTGGAGAGCAAACTATCTTCAGTAGCGCTAGAAGGACTTGAAGTTTCAGAGGAGGAAGATCTGCACCATTGGTGAGATTATTATACTCATCCAGATTTATATACTACGACTGATCCCTTAAGAGAGAAGTAACTACGTTATACTAATCAGTCATGGGCTATGACTAGTTTTAATTACGTACGTATGGTGAAACACAGTATGATGAGGTGCAAACGCATACATGCATAGTTCCAAGCTCCAGAATCAACGAACGTCACTCCAGACCGATCTCTTACCATCAGGTGATCCGTTTGCTCGTTTGCCTCCTAGTACATAAAAAAGACTGTCAAGTACTTTTTTACTATTCGTTAAGATGTAAAACATAACACCACACCTTTTATTCTCCAAAGGGATTGATCATCATCCACTAATCGGGTAAAGTAGCCCCTCCTCCCCCATCACCACGCTTACTCAAGGCAGATTGACGATTTTGCCAAACTGTTGGAAGGATATTTTTGAACTTGTAAATAGTAATCTGCCTATCCTTCGGGACTTACGTAACATGCGGTGTAGGCAGCTAGATTTTCTCGTGAGGAAACCTAACTGAAATTGAAAATATTCTACGTGGAAGAAGTCGCGGGTAACAGCTAGTATTTGTACGTACATATTCGTACATTTTTCAGTATTATAATACTACAGTATAGAAAATCTGATTAAGTTTGACCCATGACTAATCATTGTTAAAAAACGAAAATTGCATCTTTAAGTGTTATTGGTACTAAACTCTACCGGGAACACTTCATCGGGAACACTCACTGTAGTCGAATAAGAAAAAGATTGTTATTTCATGTCTTATTTGACTGTCATAGGTCCCAGTCCCAGTTGCTTAGCTGTAATCTGACAGAGTCTCAGTTCAGTGACATCCAAACACTTGATATTTCCTCGTAGTCTTGCTACATTACTTTACATAGGACTGCAAAACAAGTGATAAATGTACATACATTCGTATCTACAAGAAGTGTTTGTCACCTAGTCCCTGGGAATGGAACACGCATGAGATTAGGGCCCGGGTGTGAGCTCGGTCGCCGCCCGCCGCCCGACGCCTTATCTGATAACAGCCACACCTGAACCCATTTTTCGTTATCATTCCACAGGTTCCAGATAAACTTTCTCTAAATTACTTTTTGCCGAGGATAATGGACTTCAATAACCTGATGATGTACAATTTATAATTAAATTGCTCACGCTGCACTTATTTAACGCTAACGTGTTCCTAGCCTTTTATGTCTATCAGGTTTCGAAATGGTCAATACTCATTTAGGCTTGCAAATAACATAAGGCATTATATGAACTACTAGATTAGTATACTTAACGAGTAGGTATGTCGTGTTATGTATAAAAATGTATTTACATGGTAAGTGAACACCACGATTAAGAACGTGTGCACATACACAGTAGTCATAGCTGTAGCTGCGGTGCACTGGCGCTGCTCGGAGTGGCTGCACTGCCACATGCCGCCGTCTGCTCACACTGAGCTCTATTGGGAATTAGTGATCTGGTTACTGCAAACTGCTCACTGACGACATACTATTTATCAACAACTTATTAATTTAACATAACAATTTTTGTTTTTTGAAGGGGTAACCTTCGCTTCTAAACCTTTAACAAATGAAAAACAAAATCCCAATAAAAAGAATGATTCGAAAGTTATATTTGTATCTACTCAAACAAAGACACTGATCAAGAAATCAGATTCTCTATCCTCAAATCCTTATTCTGCGTTCTCCAAAAGGTGCAACACTAGGGGATCACAAATGGTAGTTAGACCATTTGTGATCCCATGGTGGTGCGGGCTTCTTATGTCCATGAATGGTGTTGATTACTTATCATCAGGTGACCTATCTGCTCGTTTGCCTCCTTATCCCATAACACCTCCGGCTTCACGTTATTTTAAAATAGAATTCTATCTGAATTACAAAATTATTGATGAAAATTACGAAGTTAGTAAGTACGAAGTTGGCAAAAAACTCGTATTGCTTTTGCTTCTGGTGTTACATACGTTGCAGATGCAATTAGGCCTCTAGCCTAGGGTAACTGCTTACCATAAGACGATCTGTTTGGAAATATAAAAAACTAGTATGTAAGTTTATATATAGGGATAAGCCGGTAAACGAGCAGACGGATCACCTGATGGTAAGCAATCGGCGTCGCCCATGAACACCCGAAACGCCAAGGTTACAAGTGCGTTACCCTTTTGGGAATTGGGAATTTGAGGATTGTGGAGGATTTGGGGATTCGGGAGACTAGGGAGGGGGGTAATTGGGCCTTCGGTAACCTCACTCCTACTACGAAACACAACGCAAGCGTTGCTTTACGTCGGTTTTCTGTGAGGCCGTGGTATCACTCCGGTCGAGCCGGCCCATTCCTGCCGAAGCATGGCTCTCCCACACCTGACTTGGTCAAATTTATTCTCTTTGACTTGGTCAAACTGCTTCAGATCATGGAATCAAATAAGAGTCATACATATGGTTGAGTTTGTGATATACTTACACATACAGCACAAACTAAAACTGCTTTGTATATGAAGTGATAATAATAGAACTGCAATTGCTGATGAAAAGGTTCAGATTCGATTCTCGGATCTGGCACACAACAATTAGCATTTTTTACATGCACAATGAAGGTCCACATTGTACTCTATTGATTATACTACCAATAGTTAATTACTCTTACATTTACGAAAATAACTCGGCGTTGATTGATGACCACATGTTATGTATAGTACCAACATGTTATTACAACTATAGTCATTAATTCATGGTAGTCCTGAGCCTGGCTGCGAGACGTACGGCACATAGATAAAAGTTAGGATGAGTCTGATAAAGTGCTGATATGCAAACGGTGGACTTTGAATTACTTTTGAATGAGGTTTGTTCACGTGCTATATTTTAGCAATCACTCGCACTCGACAGCAAGTCTGGATAAGAATGTTTTGTAACTTGGGAATCATAAGAGTACAGAGTACGCCGTATATTTCTCGGAAGGATAGGCAGAGGTGCTCATTGCTCGTATGGCGTTTATCGCGTACATACTTTTGACGTCCAGTTACCATAATATAAAAAGTATTAATTAATATGATAAGAAAGTTGTAATAATTCCAGCGAATGATTCACCTTGTTGTCAGGCAAATAATATTTAGCAAATTGAGCTTTGTTTTGTTTAAGTAATGAAGGACACATACGGTACTTATAACCGTTTGTTACGTGTGCCAGGTTTTTGGAAACATTGTGCATATTCCTGGCTGAGACTGAGTGTGTGGCTGTGGAGTAGTGTGAAGAAAATGTAGGTATACGCGAGCATGCGCCGTTACTTGAGCCACAATGGTACCTCGGTTTTATCTCGTTTTTTACACTTTATTTGCTGAAGGCGCACGATAAAGATAAAGATAAGTGGCAGTCAACGCTTTTATCGCGAGCTATCGCGCGAAAACTACTCGCTTCAGGAAGTTATACCTTGCTCATGTTAATGTAATTACTACAACATATATTACTAGATGACGACATCATTGCTCTCTATTATTATTATACCTACCTTTAAGTAGGTATATTCAAGTTTCCGTAGCTGCTATTGATGAGATGAAGACTTAAACGCAGCGAAATCAAGTTACCACTGTGACGTGTGTCTGCTGGCCCTTTTGCATTAACATACAGAGCACAAGCGTAAATTTTAGAAATAATTGAAACATGTACTTGTGCCTGTACAAGTTAAAGGTACCATCTTATTCTTTATCTTATTATGTGGCTCTGTGCGGTTACGAACGACTACTCAATCACACACATAAAATTAATTTGTGAAATGAATTGTTATAAGCATGTAGATACATAATTTATTTAGATTCCTTTACATATAGGTATTCGTTGAGAATAATACCTATTTACCTACATGAACAGACTGTCGATACCTACCTTCTAGGCAGTTAGTAAACAAGTGCCTGGACTAGGTACGTAGGTTCACAACTGCATATAAATACCTAAGTACCAACTTACACACATTCAACTTATAAACAATTGCAGGCGCTTTTGTTTTTATTTTACTTTGCACTTTAAATTTTAGATATTTATGTTGTACCTAAATATTTCTCGAATTAAAACTTATTTATATGAATATAAACATATATATAGTAAAATAGGTATTTTTCCTGTCGTTATGACAAGGGGGGGGGGGAGGTTTACTGTCGAAATAACCTATAATTCATATTTTAATTTAATGTTTCATTAATAAATGACGTCATTACGTAAGAAAACATTATATAGTTTTTCATTTATTTTACTAACATCGAATTTAAACAAAATGACATCGAAAATCTCCAACATAAAGTTAGCAGCACATTACGAAAGTTTTCAATGTTGTGAATATTAGCAATTTAACTGAAGTAAGTTAACTTTACAAACATTGTGTTCATTAATCAAAAGTTTGGCGCAGCGCCTCACATCCTCCATCTCCGCCACCGCCCACCCCTGCTTCTATACATAACTAACAATCTACGTACAGTAATATTTTTGGTTTAGGTCTCACATAATACTCGCCGCATTTAATACTTGGCAACTCATTCCTGAGAAAGGTCAATATTTGACAAATGGCTGCCATCTGTCACTTTCCTGCGGAATAAACAGTACGGACGGATCGCTTATTTATTTTGTTTTAAATAATAATGGACATTGATGAAATTTGTCGATTATGTTGTTCAACGAAGTTTGTCAACAATGATATTTTTGATGAAGAAAATGCGTTATATATAAAATTGTCACTATACTTGCCAATAAAGGTAAAATTAGTTGTTGTGATGTTACGTTTTTTGTGTGATGCTTTAACCTATATGATTAATGATATTAATGTTTATTGATAGGTTTTCAGAAACGACAAACTTCCCCAGAAGGTGTGCGATAAATGTAGCTGCAAAGTGAACGACTTTTATCAGTTTTGTAACGAAACCATTGAAGTACAAAACAGGTGAGTGTTGTGTTTGATAAATGTTATTAATATCATTGATGGAAGTGGAACTGATGCTAATATTTAATTCTTGTGTTCATTGATGAAGAGAAGATAAGTATATACTATAGGTATGCATATGAAATCCAGAGCAAGAAGAAAATTTTGGTCAGTAAATAAAAAGTACATTGTTTTGGTTTTGCCACCTACTTATAAGTAAACAAACAAACTTGCATTGAATACTGTAGCTGTCCACATTATATGTAAACAATTAACAATCATGTTTATGATGTAACACAAGATGTTATGCTGATTTCAGGTTGCGCAGTTTATTTTTGCAGTCTGGAGCGGGTATAGATGGCTCTGTGGACCTCACACTAGTAAAAGACAGCAGATCGCCGCCACCTCCTGCCCCGGCAGAGCACTGTGAGAGAAGTACCCAGACTGACAACACAGATGCAAGCTCTGACTGCAATGCCGCTGTTCAGGTCAAAGAAGAACCAAAGCTCGTTCCACTATCACCTGTCAAACAAGAAGAAGATGATTATTATAACATAGAGTCGGATCCATACGGGGGAGGCTCCTCAGGGAGTGAAGATATTTCATTAATTAATCTAAAAACAAAAAAGTCCACTCACAAAAGAGGTAGAAAAAAGAAGACAAATAGTATCAAAGATTGGGGGGAATTGATGAACTACCTGCCTGATGGTGCACTCACAGTAGTCAGTAAGGAAGAGGTGGACGTACCATTGACCAGCATCAAGGAGGAGGTGCTGGTGGACAAGGACGGGCAGGGGAAGGAGATAGATCTGTACAACTGCTGCATTTGTTTTGCCCAGTGTTTCAGTAGGTCTGAGATGATGAAGCACTACAGGTAACTATCCTGCTGCAGTATTTCACAAGTAATGTAGTTGCTCTGAGTTACATTGTGATTCAGCTGCCATCCATTCATTGAATGTAGTAGTTCTTCAAATCTTTGCAACTGACTGATGAATATTCAGATTGTATATAAACAAGAAATGTAAATGTGTTCAGCACAAAGTTGGTTAAAATTGAGTGAAGTTTTGAGATATTTTTTCATATGTTTTTATCTGCAATTTATTTTGACCTAAGGTACATAAATACATTAGTAGTTATTTGATGGTTTTTCGGAAAAAGAATATTATTATTACTTGTTGATTCTTATCATAACAAAGTAGGGTTTATGTTGAAATATGTAACAATTATTATGATACTAGTGACCCGCCCCGGCTTCGCACGTGTGCAATATGCATGTATAATACATATAAACATTCCTTAAGAATCACTTAATCTTTTAAAAAAAACCGCACCAAATCTGTTGCGTAGTCTTAAAGATCTAAGCATACATAGGGACAGACAGATGGCAGATAGCGACTTTTACTAAGAATTTGTAGTGACTGAACTACGAATTACTACTAATACTACTATATTGAGAGTTTTTTAAAATTTTTTTCTGGGATATGCCGAGCAGACAGATCACTGATGGTAAGCAATCAGCGCCGCCCATGGACACCTGAAACATCAGAGGCGTTACTTGGGGATTTGGAATTTGAGGATTGTGGGGGATTCGGGAATTGTGGAAACTGGGGAGGGGGTAATTAGGCTTTCGGTAACCTCACTCACACGACGAAACACAACGCAAGCGTTGTTTCACGTCGGTTTTCTGATCGGCCGTGGTATCGCTCTGGTCGAGCCGGTCCATTCGTGCCGAAGCATGGCTCTCCCACACTTGTCCACTCACTGGAGTGGCATTTGAGTATTTGTCCATTGGTGGAGCATGCGAGCTGGTACGTGGGCAGGTCGTCAGTATGTGTGTGGTCCCAGACAGCACGGCGCGGAGGCGTCGTGCGCGGAGGCCCCGCAGCCGCCGCCCGCGCCGGAGCTGGAGCCGCTGCGCTGTACTAGGTGCAGGAAGGTTTGTTCCTCCAATTATTACACTTCCAAATATTATTACATGCAAATGCAAAAATTAGAAAAAGAAAACACGTCGAAGTATCAATTTTCTTTCCTTCCGGAAAGGCTAATAAAATACTTTTAAAAAGGTCTTTTCATACATCGTACATTGTACAATTTAGTATTGTTAACGAAAAGTATCAGCAGAATTTTTGATGCTTAAAAAATCTTCACAAAAGAGTTTCATGAATTGATATCAATGTAATTGACAACCAACTAGTTTGATCATTTCAAAGCATTTGAAAAGTACGTAATAAATAATGTAGACGTGCCGTCTGCAGGTGGTGCCCCGCGCGGAGTGGGGCGCGCACTGGGCGCGGCACTGGGAGCGCGACCGCCGCCCCTACCGCTGCAAGCTGTGCGAGAAGACGTTCCGCGACCCGCACCAGATACTCAAACACGGTCAGTACTGCATTCATACAACGGAAACTGTCAACATATCGATTTTCATTATGTTTGTCAATCTGTCTAACTAAAGTAGCACACTACACAGAGATATAATTATTATAGTGCACAAGTGTGTGTGCAAACTTACGTGCACTCTGAATATGAATCCGATGGACGGTAGACCGACAGGACTGGATAGCTACAACAGCTTTATGCGCTCACCAAGCCTCGGTACCTTACCTCAGTGAGACCGTTGTACTTCCGCCACTGCCGAATTTCCTGACCATGATGGTAATGGTTTATCAGAAGTAACGATTTGCATTTTTCGCCCAAAGCGGGTATGAAACCTGTGACACTTTGCCAACCGTATAAAGTCAAGCCAATATCTATAAAGTCTCAACATATACGCGTACTGTTACAGGAGAGACTCACAACTACGAGGCGGGCGCGTCCTCCGAGCCAGCCGACAAACGGTTCCTGTGTGATCTCTGTCCGGAGGCATTCGTACACATGCGGTAAGTCGGCAGGAACATCACATAGTGCTCACCTCGAAATAATAGCTTAGAGTATTTAACTCTTATATGGATGTTACGACTACTTAACATCTATGCAAAAAAGTTTGTCATTTTCGGCGCGGGGGACGAAGGAAAGCACACAAGTAGTAATAATACACTAATGAACAGTGATAATATGTAGTCTATGTATTGCATTTATTTATATATGTATGTATTATATAGTAATTATATCATATTATATGTATGCATATTTGGGATATATATTTATTATATAATTCATTTTAAGACCCTATACCCTTAGTTATGTATTATCGACTATAACAATCATGTCTTCCGTCTTTAATATTTTATTACCTTAACTTCGTTATCTACTTCATACTTTCTTTTTACAATTTTGCACCTACCGCTTTAACATTCTGCACCACCCAATGGTCGACTGTCAGAAAATGCCTACGGCATTAAGTCCGCCAATTTCACCGTATGTGCAATAAAGTTTTAATAAATAAATAAATAAATAATGCAATTTCATCGTGTTTTTACAAAATAACAAACAAAGACTACACGCACACGTGTACAAACACACGTCGAGACCCTTTAGACACTAGTCCGAGCTTTGTTTCATTACTGACGAGATCGAGACGCCGCCGCGTTTAGCCCTCTGATTGGTTGGTTCCTTGGAGCAGGCTATCACAGCGCTGAACGCGGTAACGTCTCGATATCGTTAAACGTATTTAGTTTATTCGGATCGAATATACCTTTGAAGTATATCACCTTGAAGTATGGGACCCGGCGTCCGTCCATGCCACGTATGCGGCATGTTTGTGCCTCCGCGTATCTGCAGTCGGCATCAAACCATGGGCAAAAGCCATCGAAGGATGTTGCGTCCGAGAATGGAATGTAATATTCTATGTCCTGACGCAACACCGCACAGTACGCACGTAATTTTAAAGTTGGTGATGGTAAGTATATTCTTTTAATTTCCGCTTGTTATTAGATTGAAACATGAATCTTCGAAATGCTGTGAGCAAACTATGCTAATACGTTCAGGAGTTCACGAAAGAAGATTTGCACAAACTCGAATCAGACATCCCCAGTCATTACATCTTTTGTAAATCTGAAAAAAATAGAATATAAGTCAATAGTCAGAATAAAAGTCAGTAAGTCGATATCAATATTTATTTGTGTGTTGTCACACCTCTGCTTTAGCTCCAGTTTTACCTATTTTTTTTACTAAAATTACGTAGGTACATATTTTCAGTATAAGTTGACATGCAAATATATATATTATAATCAAAATAAAACAACTGTTCTCAGAATGAGTGGCAACAGAATATAAATAATTTTATAAAATGAAAGTTACAACCAATGACAGATGGCAGCACATGTAACATAATATTGTGTACATATTACATTTTTAATTAAGAATAAAGTTTATAAGTGAATTTTGAGAGATAAATGGAATATGAAGTTCAATATTATTAATTAATTATCTGATAATAAACAGTAATTTTTGAAATGGTAGAGTATAAAAATGTTAAAATTAAATTATTTTATTTATTTAGAAAACCAACAGCGTTACATATTATAGTTTACAATAGTTTGCGCGAATTACAGAGATTATTAGTTATATTAGCCTAATAATAGGTTTCCCTTATTTTCTAGATTTTGTAAACATGCGAACGGACTTAATTAACTTAACAAAATAAGATCAATAACAAAAAATGATTTACTTAATCAGTTAGTTAATTACAAAGACTTAGATTTTGGAATAATGATTCAAGATACGGAGTCTGTGTCCTGATTGCTTTTAATAATACATTTAATGATGTATTCTTTAAATTTAGGTTTAGCAAAACTGAACAGATCTATTTCGGCGAAGTTATTATTGTGTGTTCGGGCAATGCGAGTCAGTACACAATTTTTTGCATATTTAGTCGAGCGCCGAGGTACATGTATCATCGGCGTATGGCGAGTGCGTCTTCTGGGAACGTTAAACGTTATCTGCTGGACTAACTCGGGGCAATCCAAGCGGCCATTAATTATATCGTATAGTAAACACATATCCATTACTCTTTGTCTTTCCTCGAGTGTTAGCAGTCCATACGATCGACAGCTGTCTTCGTAGGACATCGGAACCTTACAAAGGCGATATAGGAGGTGCTTGACAAATATACTTTAAATACCTTCTAATTGTTTTTATAATAACTATCGTGAGACATACTAAGTAAAAACGCGGGTTACTCACGTGAATATACTGAGAAAAGCTCTACTAGTTTCGAACCACGAAGCGCACTACAACCATCAATTGACCTTATTTTATGGAATATGTTGTTGTCACCTGCATACATTGAGTGTTCGGAATTTTTAAAGCAGTTAGTAATATCGAAAAAATACGCGTTGTAGAAAAGAGGCCCCAAGTGAGAACCCTGTGGAACGCCACTAGGTATATCAACAAAGTTTGAACGGTACCCACCCATCACCACAGCTTGCGACCTTTTAAATAAATATGATTGAACCCACCTTAAAAGGTCCCCCCTTATGCCCAGTCTAAACAATTTGCTCAGCAGTATATCGTGATCTACACGATCGAAGGCTTTTTCAAAATCCGTATAGATAACATCCACCTGTCCTCCTCCGTCTGTGTTCTTAAGGACAAAATTTGAGAAACTTGCTAAGTTCGAGACAGTGGATCGCCTGTTTAAGAAACCGTGCTGCTTGTCAGATATGCCTCTGAGTATATAGGGATAAATTATTTTATAGACCAGCTTCGCAAATACTTTGCCCAAGGTGTTAAGTATTTCTCTATATATGTATATTTCTCTATATTCTCAATAACAGTTCGCGAGACCTTTTTATATATTGGAACAATGTGTGCCTTTTTCCATTCGTCAGGAAAAACATTATTTTAATGATGTATTAAATATTAAGCTAATCGGCAGTGCTAACGTTTTTAAACAGTGTTTCCAGAATAGTGGAGGCACTTCGTCACAACCGGGTCCTTTATCAACGCTTAACGCCCTCAACGCCCCTCCACTCTAGACGAGGTAAATTGTAAATCCATGGAAAAATTCATTGAAAGCTTGTGTGATTTCATGTCCCTCAGTATAATTTAAATTATTATGAGACATTATTTTTAGATAATTCGAGCCTCCACGCATACTCTTGATATAGGTCCAAAACATTTTATGATTCTTTATCACAGCTTGTTCGGTCTTTTGCATATACTATCTAAAGCAAATTCTCTGAACTCGCCGCTGTCGCGCCCGTAACATAACAAATTCGTCGTAGTCTAGTAGATTTCCAAAACGCTTCCAGCGCGTGTGCCTTACTTTTTTCCTTAATTATTCTTATGAGTGAACTACTATACCAAGGAGGATATTGAGGCGAGCTTATTTTTCCGTTAATAGGCACATATTTATCGATACCCGCTTGAACGGTTTCATAAAAATTATAAACGGAATTATTAGTGTTCAAAGCTGATGAGTTAATATTAGTTCAGTTAATATTAGAGAAGAAATTATTTAAGTTAATATAGTCGGCTTTACGATAATTATATCTAGGGGCTGATAACTAATAGAAATGAAACTGCTAAATCAGAAATCACAATACTTAACACTGGATGTGGAAGGTCAACCTTTGTGAGAGGTAACGAGCACTCTTTTATTTCTCTCCTCAATTAAATCTCCTTAATTTTTTCGCCGCCAACGTACATAAAACGCAATGCCTCGCCGAGCGCCAAGCTATAAATGTATAACTAAATATACAGTAAACAGTAGTGATGGGGATATCGTCATATCGATGAATAAGATATGTACGCGTAAAGTTAAGATTTAAAGTTGATTTTACGAATATAAATAAAAACTGATGAAATATTTCCAGATTTATTTTATTTCATAGTCCTTAATATGAAAAAACAGTATAAATTATGAGTATCAAAGAAACTAATACATAACTCAATTAGAACTATAAGGAATGGGGTACATCTCTATTTGTTTCATGATCTCATTCCTTAACTTCATATCAAGTTATTGGCACTGAGGGCACGTTGAATTCGATTCTGATCAGGGATGGGGTCTATGGTCTTTCTTCTATTTTTGTTTATTCCTGTGTTTTTTTAATAACTTCAGTCAACGTTTTTTACCGTAGGTATCTAAGTGGCAGAATTTTTAATTGTTTATAAAGTGTTTTTTGAAATGGAAAGTAAGTATATATTTAAATTCTATCACGCCTGTGGCCGTGTACTTATCAAAGCATTGTTGGTGACAACATTGGGGCCGGAACGTGTGGGCCCGGAACAACAATTTGTGGATCACACAAAGAGTAGCTCCTTGCGGGAATCGAACCAGCTATACGTTACACGACAGTCAGTCACCGCGGCAACCGTGGAATGTCCCATAAATTGACATTACTCAATAGTTTACTAGAGAAGATTTGTTACTTCCCGTTGGAGAACCTCTAACCACAAATGCGGTCGCTTACATTCGGTGAGCTTCGACGAGATCACATCGCCCGTTGACGGTTTTCCTTGAACGGGTATCGAGGTCCAAAACCGATTCTCCTCAAATATTATTTTATGTATGTCTTTATCAATCGCGAGACCAGAGTCTGAGGGTCCCGGTCATTTGAGAGGCGTACTGCGGACCAAAGTAAACTGAGCAGAAGTCCTTTATACAACTTTAATTTAAATGCAGTGAATGACATACGCGGGCGACTATCCCTGCATGCACTAAGGAAATGCATCTAAGGAGAGTCCTCGGCCGGTTAGTGTATTGATTAGGCTATAGATTGGGGATTGGTGGGTAGGATTGACCTCCGGTAAGTTTACTAACTCGACGAAATACAACTAATTCCTATTTGTGTCGAAGCAAAACTTTCCTATGTGTCTGATGTCACACTCCACAAGACTCGTGTGTAGTGGCTATATAAGAGCGTAGCGTCCCCCGCAGCTACCTACTGTCGCACCGCACCCGCGTGCACCCCGAGGCGGCGGGGCGCGCGGTGGCGCTGCGCTGCAGTGTGTGTGTAGTGGCTATATAAGAGCGTAGCGTCCCCCGCAGCTACCTACTGTCGCACCGCACCCGCGTGCACCCGAGGCGGCGGGGCGCGCGGTGGCGCCGCGCTGCAGTGTGTGTGTAGTGGCTATATAAGAGCGTAGCGTCCCCCGCAGCTACCTACTGTCGCACCGCACCCGCGTGCACCCCGAGGCGGCGGGGCGCGCGGTGGCGCTGCGCTGCAGTGTGTGTGTAGTGGCTATATAAGAGCGTAGCGTCCCCCGCAGCTACCTACTGTCGCACCGCACCCGCGTGCACCCCGAGGCGGCGGGGCGCGCGGTGGCGCTGCGCTGCAGTGTGGTGTAGTGGCTATATAAGAGCGTAGCGTCCCCCGCAGCTACCTACTGTCGCACCGCACCCGCGTGCACCCCGAGGCGGCGGGGCGCGCGGTGGCGCTGCGCTGCAGTGTGTGTGTAGTGGCTATATAAGAGCGTAGCGTCCCCCGCAGCTACCTACTGTCGCACCGCACCCGCGTGCACCCCGAGGCGGCGGGGCGCGCGGTGGCGCTGCGCTGCAGTGTGTGTGTAGTGGCTATATAAGAGCGTAGCGTCCCCCGCAGCTACCTACTGTCGCACCGCACCCGCGTGCACCCCGAGGCGGCGGGGCGCGCGGTGGCGCTGCGCTGCAGTGTGTGTGTAGTGGCTATATAAGAGCGTAGCGTCCCCCGCAGCTACCTACTGTCGCACCGCACCCGCGTGCACCCCGAGGCGGCGGGGCGCGCGGTGGCGCTGCGCTGCAGTGTGTGCGCGCGCCACTTCGCCCACATCAACTCGTTGCGCCGCCACCTGCGCTCCCACTCGGGGGAGCGGAACTTCCTCTGCAACGTCTGCGGCAAGGCGCTGTCCTCGCGCGAACACCTCAAGTTCCACATCCGCATACACACCGGATACAAGCCCAACGTCTGCAAGTAAGTCACTGTATAATAACTTAAGAGTTAGTATCTCTAGTAAGATTTCACTGATTTTGCGCGCGTTTTGACCTTAATCAAAAGCACGCGAGTTTGTATACTTTCGATCAGACGAAAGAGGTCAGCTTCTTTGTTCCTGAAATGTGCGATATTA